CTTTTGTATTTAACATTTTTTTGTAAAATGCCTTCCTCAAAACTTATTCGGGGGTTTCCATACTTTTGCCTCACCCTGTATAACTAAAATATATATATAAAAAAGTTACACAAAAGAAACATAATAGAACCACATTACCATTTTTTTACTATTTTCTAATTCTGAATAATATATATAATACACATATATAATCTATTTACTTAATTATGAAAAATAACTAATTCTGTTTTATTTCTGCAAACAATCTGTTGTTGGATTATCTTAACAAAATTCTTTTGAGAAATATGATACTAATAAATATGGACATAGTTAATGAATGCTAATCTTGTGATATTTTATCCAAAATTAATGGAAGATTATGTTAGCTATGTTAACATCCATTTATTTCATAGTTATTATATTCTAAGCAACGATTACATTTTCGCAATTATGAATCACGCATCAGAGCAATTACTTCTATTGCATACTTCTTATAATGTGTTAAAATAATGTATACATGATTTATATCATAAAAAAATAATTTTTAACTTCATTTTACTATTCAATTTTATTATTCAGTTCCTGACATATCCTGTCTTATAATAACTCTTACAAAATGATATTGCTTATGTTTATGTACGGTGTTATTTTTTCGTTGAGATTTACTCTCAATAGTTACCTGCTCTCTATGTGTCCACCATCACTCGCAGAACGGACAAATACGAGAGAGAACTTTTTAATATGGTCATATAAGTCTCGATAGTTACGACGAAAAATCTGCCAGCTAACAGTTGGACAGGTTGCTGCGACCGCATAATGACGAATAAAACATTCCTCATTAATTTCAGTGGAAAGCAGTACCAATTACAACTGTAGATAGACTGAGCGATATCTTCCATTTGACACTTCAGATAGTCGCCCACGAAACTATAAAAGAATAACTGTAACAATAGAGCGCCCATCACTGTTATGGTTTTAGTTATCATCACTACATCATGCGATTTCAATGCCAAAATAAATTGGAAACCTGAAAAATACGTAATAACACAACATGCACAAATTAACTCTCTCTGACATTATCAAAACAGAAATTTTTCAAGGTTTACCTAATATTTCTCTTACGTTATTAAGATATATAAAATTAGATAATGTTTTTTTAGGCAACTAATACAATTTTCGAACGTTTTGCAAAAAAATTTACGATATTCCATAAAACACTTTTTTTCTGACAAAGTGTAATAATACATTACATAACCGAAAAAGTAACTAGTTTAAAATATTTACCGATCAAACAAATAATAAGACAACTAAACAGCATTTGCACAAGCAAAACGAAACTTATTACTTCGACGAGAAGTTCCGCATGCTCCATTAAATAACGATGTCTTGATGCCAATTTTGAAAAATCTTCAAATATGTTCTTGCTTTCCACGCCATAATTGACAAATTCCATTTTTAGGATTTCCATTTGCCCACAAACATGTGTAGTGATAGCGAGAAAAAGTGAATCACTGCCTTCATAAATATATGTCAATTTTTTATTAACATTATTTATATACATTGAAAGTTTTAATAAAAAGGTTAATAGTTAGAATCTGCTGCAGAACTGACATAAAAAAAGAAAATGTTGTAATATTACAACTATAAAATAGATGACATGCATTAAAAGAGAATATCTAGTGAAAAGTAAATAAAAATTAAATATATAATATTAATTAAAACAAATATTTTATTTAATTAGACATCAAATTTAGTCTGTATGCATTTAGTTAATAAAATAGCTGAAAGCTAATAAATAGCTAAAATTTAAAAATTGAAGCTTATTATCGAATTGTATTAAAAGCAAAACATTTAAACAAATACGCAAGCTTCGTTGATATTAACAATTAACTAATTACCACAATTGCAGTTGCTATTGAGCACCAATAGAAAATATTGCACAATAGATATCACGAAGAATAAATTCGCAGAGAGATGATAGCTTCCTAACGACCATGTTAAGGGTACGGGTAAATCTGATGCTTGATTTTTGATAGATATATTAACTTGAATGTCTCCTCCATCGCCAGCTATTATAGGCACCAGACAGAAAATTGTTGAAGCCAAATAAGCGAAAAATAAGATACTGCAGCTAATCATCCTTCCTATGAATGCGTGTTGTCGCATAATCGCATGCTTCTTCTTGTTGTCGATCGCGAGATAATCGTTTATAGCAGAAGTGAAATTGCGAATCATATTATTGGCATATATACGGAATGACAATATCTTCAGTACAGAAAGAACGTTGCAGAACATAAGCATAAGAGCATCGAGCTTTATATATACATCGCTGCTACCGAAAACGATTTCGAGAAACAACATGATCATCATCGCGGTCTATACAAATAGAAAGAATGGACTGTTCACAACGAAGTTTTATTTCTGTTTCTCGCGTTTTTACTATACACTAAACATTTCACTTGAAATTGAACATGATATGTCGAACATAATATATCAACATACGAGTTCCAGAGAAATTTTATTGAAATACGAAAATTGTAATATAAAAGTTGATAACGTACCAAACTGGAGCCGGATATGATAGAACGAATTAAAGCAAATGTATTATATTTTTGCAAAGGCCAAACGCCTAATGGCAGAGTTAAGAGTTTGAAGGGAGTCATAGCGTATGCTACATCGTCATTCCATGTCATTATTACAGTTACGTAGAGCTGCGCGTTGCAGAGTAACTCAATAATATCGGTTTTTGTCCATAATACGAGCCGATCACGTTCGCTTTCGTGTTCATATTTTATTGGCGCATTTACTATAATACCTTATAATTTTCCAAAACACAGTTACTTTTTAAAATTAAGGAAACAATTTTTCTTTTATATGAAAGTAGAGTGGGATAAAGATCGAATTAAGAGAGGGGAATGCTTCATTTTCCAGTACAACATTTGTCATTGATCGTGCTTCAATACTTTTATTTTTATATTATCTTTTTACGAAGGATATGTATGATTAACTTAAAATTTAATGCGTCAGTTTTTTTTTAGATGATATGAATAGTGTTGTTAATACACTAAAATTATTCGCAGACATTTTATATTTTACTTTTGTTAAATTCAACTTTGTTTGAATAGACGAATGCATTGTGATTTTAACTTTATTAAAATGTTACTCTATGTGTTATTAATTTTCTAGATGTCTTCAAGTAAAGACTACACAGAAAAAAACTATTCTTAAATCAACCATATTATATTCATATTATAACCTTACTTCAAAGATATCAATCTTGATTTGATTAAATTTGTTTTGATGCAAGTATTACTTTGCACTTAATTCAAGACTTGCTCAATTAAAAATCTTATATCAATACAAATAAATCTTATATCAAGATTAAAATTTTTAAAGCAAGATTACAATATTTTTGCTTATATGAATATATTATGGTTGATTTAAGAATAGTCTTTTCTTCTGTGTATGATAGCCGGTTAAAAAAAAGGACACGCCGTATATATTATTTTGTAGCCGCTTAACAGGCTAATATTTTTTTATATAATAATGAAATAACTAATTCTGCTTTATTTCTACAAACAATCTATTGTTAGATTGCAAAATTAGTTAAAGAAATACGAGATTAAATACGAATCAGTCGATATCAATTAACATCTATATTCTACTTTTTATTGGAAAAACTGTTAGTATTGTGTTAAGATTTTGTTTATTTGACAGTTATCAAATTGTAAACAAGATCACAATTTCGTAATCGCAAATCACATATTACTGCAGCTTCTTAAAATAATGTGTTACGAATAATGTACAATACGTTTATTAATATTATAGAGAAAACAATGTTGTTTACTTTAAGTTGATTATTCAATTTTATTGGTTAATTCCAGACATATTTCCAAATATGGTGATTTATAGTAATTTTTTAATATAATAATATATTTGGGTGTATGTATTGAAATATCTTTTCGAGTTTTCTTCTCAATAGTTACCTGCATTTAATCATCCACCGTTACTCGTAGGACAAACAAGTACGAGAAGGAGCTTTTTAATACATATAAGTTTCGATAGTTACGACGAAAAATCCGCCAGCTAATAATTAAACAGGTTGCTGTGATCGTATAATGACGAACAAAATATTCCTCATAAATTTCAATGGAAAGCAGTATCAATTACAGTTGTAAATCGAGTGCGCGAGTAGTAATAGTATGAGAGTTCTAACTCGGGAACTCCGAGGGGAATGCGGGGCGAGGGGGATT